CCCCAGCACCACATGCCAGCCAGCCCTGCCCCCTGGTGGGCTGAGCTGGCCACACACACACACACACACAAATAAATAAATAAATAAATAAATAAATAAAATGGGCAATGGAAGTACAAGTCAATGAATAGATGAAGAAAGGTTCAGTATCTCTGGCCTTTAGAGAAATGCAAACTAAAACAACATTGTGATTTCATCTTACTCCAGAAAGAATAGCTATCAAGAAATCGAATAACAAAATATGACAGGTAGCAAGGCTGCAGGTGGGAGAAAAAGAACCTCTTTACATTACTGGTGGGATTGCAAACTAGTTACAATCACTATACAATTAGTATGGAGATTCCTTTAAAAAAAAACAGAAAATCCATTTAACCCAGTTGTTCCCCTTGTAGGTAACTTCCTGAAAGAGTTAAGGATGCATTACAGGGACACATGCATGCCCATGTGTACAGCAGCAAAATCCTTAACAGCTACATGTTAGAAGTGAACTTATCTGTCCATTAACAGATATTTGAGGCATTTATACACAATGCAAAACTACTCTGCTAAACAGAATAAACTTGAGTAGGAAAATGGATATACTTTAAGCCCATAATGTTAAGTGAAATAAATAAGACTTAGAAGCTTAAATATCGTATGATTTCTCTTATAGGAGCAATCAGAAATCCATATAAGAGCAAAATAAAAGACAGACAACAGGAAACAGGAAGACAGATCTTTTGAAAATGGTAAGGGGACCAAGGGGAAGAGAACAATGGAGAGGGGATGCTAACAGAATTAAGATGTGTTATGTACATGAACCAACTCTCCATGAAGAATGTAATCCTGGGGGCCGGGGAGATGGCTCAGTGGAATAAGTGCTTCCCTGGCAAGCACAAGGGCCTGAGTTCAATCCCTGGTTCCGCCAAAAAAAAAAAAAGAATGGAATCCTTATGTTCTATAAACATATAGTAACAAAAAAAAGAGAAAGAAAAAGTAGGTGATTTACCATCTTCCTCTGCTCCAGCCATGACTACCCTCCAAACACCAATTACTTTATAAAAGGAAGAATACTCTAACTACCTCAGATTACAATTCTATTTTTAGAAGTTCTAAGATCTGGGAGACAATGATCCCTATGGCCCCTACCAACATCTTATCACTTATCAGACTTAGTAGATAATTATACTTTCCACTTTTTTTTTTTTTTTTTTTTAATGTATCTGGTACAGGGTCTCACTACACAGCTTGTACTCATGTGATCTTCCTGTTTTACCCTTGGGCAGGTAATTTGCATTTCAATGTAAGGAGTGAAGAGAAGCTAGCTGCTTGAGCTGCTATTCCTCCTTCTTTTGTGTTCTTGCTCTTTGCTGCCGCCATGAAATGTTGCTGTTTGCAAGGTGCCAGGCTGTCTTGGAGCCAACTGAGTATGGACTGAAACCTCCAGTAACTGTGAGCTAAATAAACATTTCCTTCTTCAATTTAGGTGTCGGGTATTTGTCCCAGCAACCGGAGAAAAGTAACTAAGACTGTGTGTGTGTGTGTGTGTGTGTGTGTGTGTGTGTGTGTATTAAATATGCATTCTAAAAGTCAAATATGAACTTCTAAAACAATTTTTTTCTTTCTGCTATATTATCTTTTCACTTTTCTCCACAGGCAAGTAAAATTAGCATATCTTCACAGACCAGCACTTTAGGTAGCACAAAATAGGACACAAATCTCTTTAATACTGGTTATAGCATTTCTTTTATTTAAAGCTACCAAGATAAAACAGTTGTTGTCCATCATCACAGGAGCTCAAAGGCACTATTTTAGAATTCTATATTCCATTCCTCCTACTCCAACAACAGAACAGAATGAAAAGGCCTCAGAATATAAATACAGTAAACTTAACTCTGTAACTTACAAATAAAAAAAAAAATCACTAAACATTTAGGTTGAGAAAAGTATTTCATTTGAATTTCAACAGCAAAAAGAAAAAATGAATTTCAACAGCTTTTGGAATTCATGAATATTCTATTAACTATCCTCTTCAAAAGCATAATATTTTCATAATTTGTTTCCTAGTAAGATGCAATAAAAGAAGCAATTTATAAAGTACTTCTAAAAGTATGTGCAGAGATAGATGTGATTTTTATTGGCTTTTCTTTTTATTTCTTTAAGATATTATCCTACCAGGGTACAGACTTAGAATGTCAAAATGTAGTCTGGGAGCACAACTGTATCTGTAAACCTGTAAGTTTCATCAGATTTATAAAGTTGTTCTTACTGGAAGACTTTTTTATTCTTGAAAATGTTGCCACAGGAAAAAGTGACCTCATTTTCATTTTAAGCTGTGAGAAGACTCATGTCTCCTTCCCCTCATCTCTTCAATCCTCCCCAGCCAGACCTTTCTTCAGTTACTGAGGTAGACTGGGCCTGATTTACTGAATAGCCTAACACAAGCTTTCACACTGCCATATCATGCCACTAGAGTGCAACAAAGTGCTTTCTTCTCACTGTAAGAACCATCGTCAGTTTTAGAAAGGTTCTATAGCTAGGTGTGGAAAAAGAACAGAGATCAAAAATTTTTGCTATCACTTAAGTTTTAGATTATTGCTAAGTTTAAAGTACTAAATTTTAGATGTTGACTTCTGAAATACACAACACTGTAAAGTTTAAAGAACTGCTGAATAATACCATGCAAAAGGCTAGACTTGGAAAGCTATAAATGTAGAAATTTATTTTTTAATGAAGACTTTTTTGCTTCACAATAATCTTTCCTGTGAAAGTGAAAAAAAGCAGTATTTCAAGAAAAATTGGAGGGGCTGGGGAGATGGCTCAGTGGAATAAGCGCTTCCCTGGCAAACACAAGGGCCTGAGTTCAATCCCCGGTTCTGAAAAAAAAAAAAAAAAAAAAAAAAAAAAAGAAAAAAGAAAAATTGGTATTCTGTGCTTTGAATCTTTCTTATAAAATTAGCTGATACATACCAGAATTGCTTGGGAAATGCAAAGCAATTCATTCTGTTAATATATCCTTCCAATTAAAATTTTATCAAGTGCTAGCTACTTCAGGTAAGAAACACCCAAATATTTCCTTTTTTTTTTTTTTTTTTTTCTGAAACAGGGTCTCACTATGCAATTTGGGCTGGCCTCATGCTCACTTTTGTAGCCCCCAAGCTAGTATCAAACTCACAGTAACCTCTTGTTTTAACCTCCCAAGTGCTGAGATTATAGGCCTGAGCAACCACGTCCCAATCCTAAATTTTTCCTTTTTTATAAGCACAACTTTTTTTTTTCCTTTTGAACTAAAATGCTTTAGTTTATTAATTAAGATTACAGGTTTATAATTATCAGTAACAAAAAAAATGAATTTAGGCTGGGGAAGTAGCTCTGTGGTAAAATGGTTGCTTAGCATCAATGAGGTACTGGGTTTCATCTCCAGAATAGAGACGAGAGGGAGGAGGAAAAAGGGCAGAGAGGGAAATAGGAAAAGAGGGAGACAGAGAGAGAGAGGTAGGGAGACAGCAAGAAAAGGAGGTAAGTGGAAAAATGGAGGAAGATTAAAAGAGATGCAGCTAACTAAATAATTAAATTTAACCCACTAAATAAATCAAAATTAATACAAATGGTACCACTTAACCGAAATAAAGTTTTTCATGTTAACAAAAAAAAAAAAGTCTAAGAGATATTACCTTTTCCTGAAGCAACTTTGAGGAGGCTACATCACGATTACCTTTTCCACCAGCAGTATTAAAATGAGACCATGGTAAAACTGAATTAAAAGTTAAGGAATCATCCAAGGCAAAATCTGGTTTCATAAAAATCTATTGAAAGAACATATTTTCTTTAATTAGACTAAACATTTTCTTTATATCTATTATTCCTTCTAACATTATAAGACCATTAAACAAAAATTATATTGAATTGTAAGTATGAAAAGCGAAATTAAGTGATAATAGGCTGGATTATTCACATAAAAGTCATAAAATTGTATAATGTTCACCAGCTTAAAATCCTCATTAAAAAGAATAAAAATAATTTTAATTTTATCCTACACAATTGGATTTATAGCTCCATTACTACATGCTCAAACTCACTAATGTAATCCCAACAGGCACATACAAAAGAGAAATACCATACTTCCCTAAAATTTCTGTATTCTCACTGATAAATTTTTAAATGTCAATTACCAACATTCTAACTTATATTTTCTTCTGCTCAAAATTCTTTCAAAATTACTTTTAGACACACACTAAAATTTAAGAGCAAAAACCTTCCACTTTATGAAAATAATGTTCCTTTTCCTTTACATGCCATACCCAGCTAGTCAATAAGACCTACATACTATATTTCTTAACTATCTCTTGGATTCCTTCTTCTCTTTACAGTACTCATCCTTTCAGCCTTTCATGACCTGTTCTTTACAGTAGTTACTGTTTTTGCTCCCTAAGCTATCCTGTTTTGCTATCAGAGACCGTTTTTAAACATCAAGTATAACTGACATTCTCCTTGAATGCTCATGACCCACAGACCAAATGTTTCAGAATTTCATCAAAATTCATCATTTTTGATCCCACTTATCTCTTTGGTATCTTGTCACTCCCTTCACTATTTACATATCACATTCTCTCAGTACTCAGTTATCTTCTATATCTTCTTATGCTTAAATTTGTTTACACATCCTTTGTCTTAGAATGCACCTTCTTGCCTATCTAGAGAACATGACCTAATCGAAAAGGGCAAATATTTTCCTGTGTGTGACACAGAGATTAATCACCTAATCGTACCTACCTCAAATAATTATTTAGCTCATACTTCACGGAAATATGTATATCTCTCTCTCCCTAGAGATCCTCTGTTCCTACACAATTGGATCTAGAGTTCCTTAATCACTGTATTGGTGTTACCAAGTACAGGGACTAAAGCATGGTTTAATTAATGTTTAAGCTATATTTTATTTACTGATTTGTTTCACCTACAGCCACTAAACTAGTATGAATATGACAGGATAATTAAGAGCAGGAGTTAAAAAAAAAAAGCAGGAGTAAATTTCCTAATTGTTTCTTCATCACTATAACAAAAAGTATTGACTAATTCAGTAAATACCTATTGTCTCTTACAATAAACACTGAGAGAAAAAAGGAAGATAAATTACTACTCAGATCATAATCTCAAGGATCTTCAGTCCAATGAATGTAATCAATTCTGTAAATAGTTGACTCTCATATTTAATGGAGTATCAAAAACATTTGAAAAGGTTCTGTACTGAACATGCACATTCTTTTTTCCTTGTTATACTGAAGCAATATAATAAAACAACTATTTCATTAGAATTTATATCATGTTAAGCATTGTAAGTAATTCAGACATGATCTAACATATACAGGAGCTTATGTATAGATAATAGACAATGTATAAGAGACAAGGTAAGCATCTGAGAATTTTCATATCCACAAGGGCGGATGGTTTTCTTGAACCCATTCATCCTTTGTGGATACAGAGGAACAAATATGTAAAATCTTATCAGGAAAAGAGTGGCAAATGTCTTGGGTGGGGAAGGGGAGAGTTCCTAGACAAAACATTAAGGAAATTTGGCAAAGGGACCAATTTTCTTCAACTAGGGAAAAGAAAAAACTACTCAGTACTTGTCCATGCACAGTTGCCATGTTAGCAGGAACTTGCACAGTATTACACAAGGGAAGAGGACCAAAGGTTCTCCAGGCTGGGGAAACCAGAAACCAGAAAGAAAAAAAAAAAAAAAAAAAATTGGCCAAAGTAAAAAATGTATAAAGCTTAGCAGACAAAAGTTAGAAGTGTGATTATGATGGAAACAAATCTTGGAGGACTTTAAGTGACACTATAAATTTTATTTTGTACATATCAGAGAATGCTGAAAATGATCCTTTCTTGTTTCTTTCTTACCCTACACAGTAATTGTCACAGACCTCTCTGAGAATCTGATTAATACAATGGACTCCTATCCCCCCAAAAACGTATTATACAACTCTACAACATTTTTTTTTTAATATTTATTTATTTTGTGTGTGTGTGTGGCCAGTTCAGCCCACCAGGGGGCGGGGCTGGCTGGCATGTGGTGCTGGGGATTGAACCGCGGTCCCTGTGCTTTTGTTTAGCTTGTTCTAAGTAGGTGCTTTAGATCACTGAGCCATCTCACCAGCCCAACATTTTTTATATTAAAAAAATACTTTAATAATTTCAATGGTTAGTAAAATCAATAAAATTCTTTTTCAGAATTAAGAATAATTTTCAATGATGAGGAAGAGCTAGACAATACAAAAAAGGAAGAATACCAAAAACATGCAATCTTAATTTGCCAATTATTTTTTCACTTAAAAAAGAAAAAGAAAAACTATACAACAAAGTACCAGAAGAGGCAAAGTAGCTCCAATGTCAATAGCCAAATGAAAACTACTTGTAAGATAAAATTAAAGGCCAAATACTAAAGAAAAGTATTCTAATTTTTAAGTTTTGTTACCTTAGGTACTTGCTCCAGATCTGTCCTGGATTTATCTACAAAAAAAAAAAAAAATGATTTTCAAAAGTTTGTTTTAATTAAATCTTCATAAAATATTTTGACAGACAATATAGGTCACAACAAAATAACTAAAGTTTTTCCCTCATCAAGTACCCACTAATCTATCCACTGTATATACTGTAGGTAAATGCTTAACTAGAACATACTTCAAATAATTTTAAGCAATTAGTAAAAATAAAACAAATAAATTTCAAATCTTTTTATTTTTAAATTTTATCTATTTGTCTATCTTTGTAGTACTGGGAAAAGTACTCAGGGACGTCTCACTGAGCTACATCCCCATCTTTTTCTATTTATTTTGAGGGTCTTGAAACTGGTTAAATTTCCTATGCTGGATTTAAACTTCAATCTTTCTGCCTCAGCCTCCTAGAGCGCTGGAATCATAAGGGTTTGCCACTACACTGAGCTTCAAGTTTAAAAAAAAAAAATACAGAAAAATTAATGGTCTTACTAAATCATGGTATATAATTATTTTATATTAAGTTAGAAAATGAATTCTAAAACAGAAATATTTTTGTACTCTTTAACATATACTCCATCCCATCTAGAATTTTATATGATCACAGATTACTTTTACATTCCATATCAATTTTCTTTTTAGACATCTTTAATTTTACAGGAGCCCAGGGATATAGCTCAGCAGCATAAGTGCCTTCCTGGCAAGCACAAGGTCCTGAGTTCAATTTCCTGTTACCAAAAAGAAAAAAATTGTGTTGCTTACATATTTATTTATAAATGAATCTGCTTTACCTTCAGTCTTGCCACTTTGGTCTTACATAAGATACTCCAGTTCTTTACAAAATTAACCTTTCTGTGTTAAGATTCCATTCCCTCCTACTTCTGTGAACTTGCTTCACAAATTACCTCTCTTTGTATCTTTCAACCTCTTTCCTTTTACTATTCTATCTCTACACACAAATAAACAAGCTCAGTTCTTTCCCACTTAAAAGAGAAAAAGAAGGATAATACCAACAACAGTAAGAAAAAGGAAAAGGAAAAAGCTAAAGTGCAGGTCCAAAACTAGGTTGAAGCAAGAGGGCCATTGTAGGTGAAAAGTGTAAGAAAGCACTTTATGCTCAGAGTCATGTAAATGTATACTTGTCTTGCCTCACCTAGTCCTGGCCATGAAAATGCGTTCTCCACACTACACTCTATAGGCAACACGTTTTCAAATCTTCAAGTCACATCACTATTAGTAGTCTACATTACTTTCTCTTATACTCACTGAAGCACCAAGGTTTCTACAACCACTACTCTGATCTAAATGCTCTAAGATCCCTAACTACCAAATCCTAGGAGACTTCTCAGTGTGCAAACTGACACATCCCAAGGTATTCTGACATTGCAAACTAGTCATTCTTCTTTGAAATTTCACAATTTTTTTTACTTCTTTTTTTTTTTCCCTAGGTTTTCTGAGCATTTATTACAAGATCCCAACAGTGTTTTATTTTTTCTTCTCAACATCCTGCTCTGCGGCTTCCTTAGCTCTCTTTGCCCAGATGCCAAAGAGCCAGGCCATGTGCAGACTGGCAAATGCCTTGAAGTTCTTTTCTTCCTCTGTAATGAAGCTGGCCTTCTCCTTCTTGTAGACATTCCTGATGGGCATCACAGGTCCTGTCAGCTGTGTGGCCAATTTGAGTTCTTCAGCAGAGCTGTCTCCCTTTTGGGGGGCCAATGGCTTCCTGGGGAAGAGGATGAGTTTGGAGTGGTACTCTTTCAGCCGCTGCACATTGGCCTACAGGGAGTTGGTGGATTTGTTCCACCACCTTAGGTCCACTGAAATGCCAATGGTCTGAGCCACCTTCTCGTGAATACCGGCCACTCACAGCTCCTCTAGACTGAAGCCCCTGCCAGCTCGGACCTTGGTGTGGTATCACACCATAGGACAGCACATGATGGGCCAGATGGGTCAGACACAGGGTGCGGGACCATGTGGCACACTTTTGTCTGCAGGGGCCTTGTGCCTGTGGATCTTCCAAGCTGGCTGATTGAACCACATAGCCACACACCACTGCCAGTCCGGTGGAAGTGGGGCTTCAGAATCATGCCATTCCAGCTGGATGCCATGACTGCCTCTTAGGCCATGGATCAGCAGAACTGAAAGGGTACAACCTTTCACTTCTAAGGTAGAATTCTCTCTTTAGCTCTTACATGTGATCATAGTGTTCTACCACCTATCTTTTTCATCTAACTGTTCACATCCCTCTGGGCAATCCCATTCATGTTCTTGAATTCATCTACCATGCCACTGTCCAGCATATTATCTATGATAGTGTTTACCATATCTATACATATCAGTCTACTTTTCTCTTTCCTGAGCTCTACGTTGGTAACCAAACTATAAACCTGCAATTAAACTAGCCTCCATCTCTTCCAAAATTTGTCCTTCTGTCTTACCTCTCTGACTGAATTACCTCTCATGCCCAATCAAGAAACCTAAGAGTCATCTTTGACAGAACTGGTCATCAAAACCTATGCTAAAAAAAAAAAAATCTATGCTTGACAGGGCTTGACAGGGCTCCACAGGGTATGGCTGTAATCCTAGCACTCGAAAGAATGGGGCAAGAGGATCTCAAGTTCAAGCCCAGTCTGGGCAACTTAGGGAGATCTTGTCTCTAAATAAAAACATAAAAAGGGCTGGAGATGTAGCTCAGTGTGAAGACTCCAGTTTCAATTCCTAGTATTAACAAGAAAGAAGAAAAGAGCAGGAGGAGAAAAAGGAAGAGGAAGAGGAAGAGCAGGAGAGGAAGAGAATAGAGGAAAGGTGAGGTGAGGTGAGGTGAGGTGAGGTGAGGTGAGGAAGGAGAGGAGAGGAGAGGAGAAGAGAGGAGAGGAGAGGAGAGGAGAGGAAAGGAGGAGAGTCAAGTACACAGACAAAAGGAGGAGGGAGGAAGAAAGGGGGAGAGAAGAAAGCTATACTGCCTTTAGAAAAAGTAAAATTCCTGAATATGGTACACAAAGCTCTTTAATGATCAAATCCCTGCCTATAGTGTCAGGTTCTTCTCTTACTTTCAGGAGGGTTAATACACTAGAGTCTTGCAATTCCTTGAACTCTTAAGTAGTTTTAGGAGGTTCTTGCTTGACTCAAAGACTTTCTATAAACTGCTCCCTTTTCCTGCATACCTATCTTTCTGCATAAATTTTCGTATTAGTTAATTTAAAACTCAGCACTTCATCCACCCTGGGAAGATTTCTAGAAGTTACTTAAGAATACTGTGCACACATCTTTACCACACTAAACTTACTGTTTAATGTACAATGATATAATTATTAGTCTATTTCTTTAACCCTATTCAAGAGACTACCAGCTTCTTGGGAAGCAAAAGTACTACCTCTTTATTTTCAATCACAAAGTACCAAATACCAAGGTATTAAATATTTGTCACGCTAAAGGGTTACACTACTGTCAATATATATGATTTTTCTCTTAAAAGCTTTAAAAAATATGGTGGTAGGCAATAAAATTTTAGTAGAAAATTATAGATAATAGCAAACAAGGTTTGACTATTAAGATGGCTCATTATATATGCATGCTATATTTTATTATCTACAAATAACACATATTCATACCATGAGTATGTAAAAGAGTCCTGTCAAAGGTATCTTTCGGAGGACAAATATTCTTGCATCTCTCATGAATCTTCTCTCTCTAATTAAAAAAAAGTTAAATAGGTAACACGATCAATGCTATATAGAAATACAAGCATTCAAAGCATCTGAATGTTTCATTAAAGAATATAAAACTATGCCAAGTTCGTTTTATAATTTTAATATTAAATCACTAGTTCCTGAACTTAAATACAAGTAACAAGTGTGCTTCATGAACCAGATGCCACTCTAAAATCTATAAATACAAAAAATGTTTTGCCATTCTAGTAGGTATGTGGTGCTATCTAGTTTTAATTTGTTACTTGTGTGTTCTGTATAAATGTATGTGTTAGTACTAAAAACTAATCAAATACTGTACAGTGTTAATGCTAATAGTATAACCATATTCAGCCTATCTCTAAATCATATAAAGAATAAAATAATCAAGTAAAACAAAATCAGAGAAATTCAATTAACTTTTTTTAAAATGTATTTTGTATAGGATCTCACTATGCAGCATGGACTTGTAGTGATCCTCCTGTTTTCAGCCTCCCCAGTGCTGGGACTGCAGGTTTGCCCAACTGTGCCAGGACTTAGTGACCATCTCAGTGCACCTGGGGGCTGGGCTGGTACAGCATGCAGTACCAGTGATCGATCCCCAGTCCCTACACTAGTCTGCTATCTTGCCAGCTGTAAAATCAGTAAAATTCAAATTAGGCTTGTGAATGAAAAAGCACAAAAGCCAATAGCTATAAAAATAAAGAGGGGCTGAGGAGATGGCTCAGTGGAATATGCACTTCCCTGGCAAATGCAAGGGGCCAAGTTCAATCCCTGGTGCTGAAAAAAAAAAAAAAAAAAACCATAAAAAGTATTAAGCCAGAACAACTGCACCTGCAGTGCTAGCTATTTGAGAGGCTGAGGTAGGAGGATTTCTTGAGCCCAGGAGCTCAAGGTCAACCTGGGCAACACAGCAACACCTTCTTATAAAAATGACCAAAAAACACACATACATACACATGCATATATGTGTGTACATAACATAAAGTACATATAGGTGCATATACATATGAATTTGATATATATCCCTTTTATCACTTCAACTTTTTAAAAAACCGAGTATCACTTCAACTTTTTAAAAAAGATTCTAGGAGTATACTGATAATAGATACTCATTACAATCTAAATATGAATGAATAAACCATCTCAAACTTAGAACTATACTAGCTCTTATTTTCAGACTGAGTTTAAAGCAACAAACTGAACTACAATTATATCTGGATATAGTAAGGTTATAAGCTAGAGATAGAATGCTCTATTAGATTGTCTGTGGTAAATGAGACACAGAAACAACTCCACTCTGCTCATTTCTCAAATCACATGTTATCTGGACTTTACAGAACTAATAGAACAATTTTTATTTTTGGTAGGTAGGATATGTTTTTTATTGACTCTTAGTACTAACAGGAATGAATAATTCTGAAAAAAATCACTACAAACATGTATTAAAATATATCTAAAGAAAGAATTAAACATAACCCAGGATATCAGAATTTATATGAATAAAAAGAATATCATGGGTTAGTCAAAAGTTATTGGTCAAAAGTCTACAACCAGTAAACTAAGAATATTTATGACCTCACTTAACAAATTTCAACATTCAGTATTACCTGAGAGATTTCCTGTTGATATGCTATAAAATGTTCCTTGCTGATCTGTGGGAGGTAGAATGAAGGTATGACTTCCGTGTCTACAAAGTCCAATCCCCATGTTTTTGTGAAGAAGTCAGATTCTCTTTTTGCTAATCTAGGATCATTTAATGCTGCTGGGAGATTTACTTTGGAATGATATATAGTCCATCTATGTTGATCTGTAACTAGAGATGGGGCAACACATAAACTACTTGAATCACCTGCAAAAAGTAAAGAAGAAATTCTGTAGAGTTTATAAATACATCCAAGAAAAATATAAATGCTTAGATTCTATTTTACCTAAACCAGTCAAACTCTTTCTTCCATGGTAAATTATTAATAAAAATCAATCTGATTAAATATTTTCCAGTATCAATTGTGAAAGGAATGAAACATGTATACATGATAAAGTATATGTAAAATCTGAGGGCAAGTTTCCAGATGAGGCAGATATAATGAAAATCTTTTCAATAATGTATTTAATGTATAATTTCTCTATCATTCTTTTCAGAAATAAAAATACAACATATTTTTAGAGGTGGGCATTCTTTTAAAATTGCATTAGGCTAGGCACTCCTGGTTCAAACATTCTTTGGTTTGTAATCAGGTGATATTAACCAGAAAAAAAAAAAAGCAAAACTGTACACTCTATGGCATTTACCATAGAGAAAAGAAAAACATACTCTCAATTCTCATCATTTGTAGTAACTTTGTTCTATAATGTTACTTTGAACAACTAATCAAGAAATGCAATACTGAACTACTTCTCTTATCTAAAATTAATGGTAACGTTCCTGTGGGCTTCAGATTACATTTTCAATAAATTTATTTGTCTATGTTTCTGTTTGAAGATTCCTTATTTGCTACACAGTGCTGATTTACTAACACTACACTCATGGCTAACAGCACTGTAAACTATGGCTGAAAAATGCTTATTCTATACATGATTTTCTCCATAAGGAACATAACAACTTTCTTGCATTTAAGAACACTATACAATACTTCTATACTTGGAGATTTTGAAAAAGCAAAATCACCAACAAAAAGCACAAAAACATAAAACAGGTGGCACTAAATAGATAACAAAAAGGACACTTATTCACAGTACAAGAGTTTAAACAAGAAGTCACAAAATTTCCCTGTGCAATCACATATGAGAATATGTGTGTCAAACAACTCAAAAATTTTGCTGTTCTGTACATGTCCACAAATGAGCACAAAAGAACATGAGTACTGATTTTGGAGTCATAAGTAGGAGAATCTGCAATGACTAGAATCTGCAAAAAAGCAGGACATTATAATATTTTAACTAAACATCTTTCAATCTGTATCTTAATTTTCAGTAATTTTTCATCTTATGTAAATAACTCATTTTATAGAAATACACAAAAAAATCCCAATTTCCCAATTAACTTATTTCCAAATTTATTATCTCTTTATTTTTAATACTGTAAAATTTACTACTTTAAGATCAGTTTATGAAACTACTAAAGAAAACACAAATCAACAGTAAAAAATCCTTAAAAAAAAAAAAAAAAAAAAAAGGCATTACCTGTGGGTTCCTTGGGACAGACATCTGGCAGTGACTGCACAGGTCGAATATGTTTTGTTGAATCTACCTCCTTTTTAAAGAAAACATCACTGCTGCTTCCTTGAGGCACTGGTGAAGAACTGTGGCTTGAAGCCATTGCATAAAATCACCACTCAACTAAAAATGAGTAAGAAACAAATAATAATTAAGAGATGTTATGTGAACCACATTTCATTCACTGATATTACATGTTATAAATTTTCTTTCAAAACCAGAAAGGTTTTTCAAAACCCTTCAAAGTATAGGTTTGCAATTTGCATATTTGCAGTTAATTGTGAAAGCTACTCATAATATTTGGTTTTCTATGAAAGCTATTTGTTAAAAATTCTTACCCAAATTAAATATCCTCAGTCTTTTATCAAGAATATATATATATATATATAACAATCCTGTATCTATATATTAAAAATGACACATTCCATTCATCCAATAAGTATACATTTAAAAAAATTAAACACCCATTTACCCAACAAGTATAAAGTAATGATTCACAGATTTTCTCTTTTTTATAGTTTTTGTGTGTGTGTGCAGGGTCTCACTATGCAGCTTGGACTTGTAGTAATCCTCCTGTTTTCTGCCTCCCTTGTGCTGGGATTACAGGCATGCGCCACCATGCCTGGACTCCATCACCGGCTCACTGCACCCAGGGCAGTGCCGGTGCAGCATGTGGTGCCAAGGATCAGACCCTGGCCCTAGTGCTTACCTAAACAAGTGCTTAATCTGCTGAGCTATCTCACCAGCACTGATTCACAGATTTTTGAAGCATGCCTGCCTGGGTTTGTATCTCACCTTTATTCAACAATAGTATAACCAAGAGGAAATTTACCTGCATAACTTTGTGTGCTTTTCCTTATCAGCAAAATGAAGATGAAAACAGATGCTATTTCATAAATATCTTAATAATTATAGGAATGGATATATATATAGATATAGATATAAAACATTTAAAACAATGCCTTAAGTGTTAGTATTCACAGATGTTAGCTATATTTTAATACATGACTGCCACACAGTAATAATTATAAAATCACTGCAATTAAATGAGAAAAAAATGGGCATTCTTCAAAAAGCTTACAATTGCATTAAGCCATAAAAACAAATGTATGTAAGTAAAACATACTGAGCTGTTTACATGTTTAGTAAGTGCTCAAAGAATTTGTGGGGCAAAATAAAATACACAAACTTACACTATCAGGTAAGACTACAAATGAAGCAATACTAAAACCGGATACTGAAGAAATTTTATTATTTTACTAATGAAATATTTAAAGATTACCTAGACTAAATTCTCACACTAAAGCATATCAAAATCCAGAAAAATGTTCATACATATCAAGTTAAAAAAAAAAAAAAGCCCAGCTGGGATACCTAGGGAAGAAAAAAATAAGAATGGGAAGTAAGGAAGAGAGCTATTAGGCTAGTAACCATGATAAACAGTTCTTCTAATTTCCCTCAGTTAAAAAGCCAAAAATTATATATTTTTTTTAGATTTCCTTGTCTCAGTACTTTCAAAGCGAAGGAAACAAAACCAATTACATCATTCACTTGAATAAACTGCTATTCCACGGCATACTACTGGCACATGCCTGTAATCCCAGCTATTCAGGAGACTGAAACAAAAGTAATTGCAGTTGCAGGCCAGGCTGAGTGACTTAGTGAAACTGTCTCAAAATAAAATCAAGACGCGAAAAAACCATGGTGGTTAAGGCTCAGTAACAGTAGTTTATATTATGCACAAGACTTATGGCCAATCCCGAATACAGGGAAAAAGTAACAACAAAAAGAAGGGAAAAAAGAAAGTAGGTATTGGGCAGGCCAGCTAGCTCAGGGGATTAAAGTGCCTGCTTAGGCAGACGCAGGGACTGGGGTTCCCCCATGGAACACGCTGAGATGGCAATTGAGACTGGGCATGGTGGCACACACCTATAATCCCAGTGCTTGGGAGGCTGAAAACAGGAGAATCACTACAAGTCCAATCTGTGTAGTGAGACCCTACAGACCGTGTAGTAAATATATTTTTTTAAAAAGCAGGTATTAAGTCTATGTATAAGTGTAGGATAAGACTTCAAGAACAAATCCCTGATTGCACAGAAAACCATTATCAGCAACTGGGATCACATCATATAGAAAAACTTCTGCACAACAAAAGAAACCACCAACAGAGTGAAGAGAAAACACAGAATGGGAAAAATTTTTACCAACTATACCTCAAAGGACTAATATCTAGAATATATGAAGCACTCAAAAAAATCACACCCCTCCAAATTTAAAAACACAATCCAAAATGATCAGCTGAAGTGAATAGACTTTCTCAGATGAATACAAACAGCAAATAGATAAAAAATGTTCAACAACACTGAGCACTCAAAAATTCAAAGTAATACTGAGATTCTCACTCCAGAAAAAAATGGCTATCATCAAGAAATCAAACAATAACAAATGCTAGTGAGTCTGTGGAGAAAAGTAACCCTTCTCCATTGCTGGTGGCAGTATAAATTGGTACAACCAATATGGAAATCAATATGGACATTCCTCAAAAGACTAAACCTAGATATTCCATTTAATCTAGATATTCAGTTTATTGGTATCTTCCCAAAAGGAATAAAAGAATCATACTACAGCACACCTGTGTTTACAACAGAACAATTTGGGCTTTTCTTGTTTGTTTTGTACTTAGTACAGGGTCTACAGGGCCTACAGGGTCTCACTACATAGATTAGACTCAGTGATTCTCCTGTTTTCAGCCTCCCAAGCGCTGGGATTACAGGCATGTGCCACCATGCCCAGCTTCAATCACCATCTCAGTGCACTCCAGGGGCAGGGCCGGCATGGCACACCAGGGATCAAAGCCCAGCCTCTGCGCTCTGCCTAAGCAGGTGCTTTAGTCTGCTGAGCTATCTGGCCAGCCTTTGCTTTTGTTTTTAAGTATTTCTGTTGTTGGTACTGAAAAAGAATTCACAGATTTCTTCTAATAAGCCAAGTTTTTTAATGAGATCCCAGTTGTTGATGTTTTGAAGTATTTCCCATGTAGTTCAGGTTTTATTCATAAACTCTCTACCTACCACTATGTCTTCAAGATTTCTACCTGAGGGGCTAGGAGATGACTCAGTAGAATAAACGCTTCCCTTGCAAGTGCAAGGGCCTAATCAATCCCCAGTTCTGGAAAAAAAAAAAAAAGATTTCTACCTGCTTTGTCCAGTAGATTTAGTGTTTATATCTTTGATCCACTTTGATTTTTGCTTAGTGCATGGTGATAAACATGGGTCTAATTTTAGCCTTTGGTTGATGCAAAGCCAATTTTTCCAACACTATTTATTAAAGAGGCTATCTTTCTTCCAGTGAATATGTTTCGCCTTTTTGTCAAAGATAAAATGGCTAAAGGTGTTTGTGGTTCCGTCTATATCTTCTAATCTGTTTCACTAATCCTCAGGGTTTTTTTTTTTTTTTTTTTTTTTGTAGTATCAAGCTGATTTTATCTCAGTAGCTTTATCACAATAGTATAATTTTAAGACCAGGCCTGTGATGCCTCCTGCCAGGATTATCTTTGTTAAGCTAGGTTTGCTAGATTTTTTTTTTTTTTTTTTTTTTTTTTTTTTGTGATACCAGGGATCAAACCTTGTGCTTTATTATGTTAAGTTTCTTCTGGGTCCAGATGAATTTCAGGATATTCTCTAGATCCATGAGGTACGCTAATAGTATTTCGATCAAGATTTCATTAATTATATATAACAACTTTGGGAGTATGGCCTATTTCACAATGCTGATTCTTCTTATCCATGATCAAGGAATATCTATTTTCTGAAATCCTCTTTGATCTCTTTTTTCAGAGTACTGCAATTTTCACTATATAGATCTTTTACTTTGTTAGATCGATTCATATTTTATTTTTTGGATGCTGCTGCAAAGGATATGGTTTCCTTAACTTTTAATTGACTTTGTTGTTTTTATACAGGAATGCTATCAATTTCTCAGTGTTGACTTTGTATCCAGCTATGCTACCGAATATGGTTATTAATCCACAAGTCTTTTCATGGAGTCTTCTGGGTCTTCTATGTAACATGTTATCTGCAAATAATGATACTTTAACTTTTTCCTAGTATTCTACTGAGGATTTTTTTTTTTTTTAATCTATGTTCATTAGGAAGATTGGTCTATAGTTTTCTTTTTTGGTTGGCTCTTTCTCTGGTTTGGGTATGAGGGTAATACTTGCCTCCACAAATGAGTTAGGGAGAATTCCCTATTTATTTGCATGAATTTGAGTTTTTTCTTGCTTTTTGATATGGGTGACTAAGGGTTTATCTATTTTTTTTCCCTTTTCAAAGTTTTATTGATAAACATATAGCAATGAGACAGTTTCAAATCAAATCGAAAGTACAGTTTCAACAAATAATACACTG